CGAACCATCGAGTTATACAAGTGACTCCGTTTGCAGGCCGACCATGAGGGTGCTCCTGACTCGCCGTAAAGGAGTTCATCGTAATCGGTGAAAAATATGTGAGAATTCAGGGGGTGTTGCTTTTGAGATTTGATAGTCTTGAAAGATGATCATAGGAATGTCCTCTTACCAGGGCGGAGCAATACTTGGGGCATCACTTACAAAGAGTTGTCATTCTTCTGTGAGATCCGCAGCTGCAGTTATGTCCTCTCATCGAGAGCTTCCGCAATTCTCGAACGCTCCACCAGCTTCAGTGCCTCCATCATTAGCAGTGTTTCATTAGAAATCTCGCCAATGCATGTGGCGTTCAAATGTTTCCTCACCCAACTAGAGGCTGATAACAGGAGGCTCGACAATGGTTCTTGATTCAAAGGTCCTCATAAATGACGATTATCTCCTTGGTGTTTCCCAAGCAGGAACTACTGACCCCATCAGGAAGTGGCGGACACCCTGAGTGCGAGCAGTCGAAAGTCGTTCAACCCATTCGTAACACAACTTGTTAAAAATTCTCGTCAAGCGGTCTCCGCAAAAGGTAACCAACGATCTCCGCAACATGCGCCTTTCCTCGTGCAACTCGCTCCTCGTCGTTCAGAATGAGGCTGATTCCCTATAGAATCTCATGGCGTGACAGGAGAGCTGAAAGCTCTGTAAACCCGAGAACTTTGAGAAAACCGTCTGACTTCTCATTTGTGCAGCTAAAACGGAGCTCCACTTATATTTGGTTTTGCTGTAATGGTTTCGAGATTCGGAGCGAAGTTTCAAGACGACTGGATTACCGTTATCCATCTAACCATAAGTTACCTGCTAAAACCGCCCCCTCTGATGAATATGCATCTGGTCAAGCATCTCAACCATGTATCTTTAAAAAAGTTCCACAACTCCGGTGATCTCAAGGCGTTGCGACTGAGTTCTTCGACTAACAGTCCACTTCGGGAACTGCAGAATTTCCTTTTTTGTTGGGAAAATGTGATAGATACTAGTATATCCCTAACTAAACTAGAGCTCTAATGAAATCATAAGGGAGTTGGATGCATAGGATTTCCAGGAATAACCTTGCATCAACCACTTTTACAATGCTTAAAGACAGCCCCCGCACTCAAGTAGTACATGGCCGTCCTTCCTTGTGCAAGTAGTTCAGCCCCCAAGCTAGATTATCCCGCTCTCGCGACTCCACAGTGAGCGAGGAGCAAACTAGAACCGCTGAAAGCTCTAGTTCTAACGCCCGCCCAGTTGGACCGCCCACTTGCTAGCTGCGCTCTGACGAAGAGCCGCACAGTTGTTCTTTGTTGAGAGGGCGGGCATTAATCGGAACTGCATGTATTTTTTGCTGACCGCTTGTGTCCGTAAATAATTCTGCTCGCCTTCATCACATTTTATTCACTGGGAGCACATACAGTCAACTGCAACCTATCTCGTAAGGTAAAACGCGTAAAAATCCCGAATGATGTAATTCCTGTGATGCAGAAGCTCGGCATGCACCAAAAGCTGCACACTGCACGTAACCCCGAATTCGGACGCCGGTTTGTAAATTTCTTCCTTTTTCAAGCGTTTTCTTTCGTGTTTTTGTTGGTTTCCATATTCTTTTCGTTGTGTTGGATGTTGTCCACTACTGGGAAATGCCATAAAGCGATTTGTGAGCCACGGGTTGCCCACGGACTGGAGGGCGTAACTGTAAGAAAGCAATTGCGTTTGTAGTGTTTTTGAGGGCTCTTGTTGCTTTTTCCCTTCATTGAGGAATGACCTATCAGCTACTGTTTAATTGATCAACAATTATCCTTGACACTTTTATCGCGGAAGCTGTCTTTAACAATTAATCAGTGAGAACATGAATACATATTATTCGAGTAACCAGTGGAGATCAGCTCTGTTTTTCCTCTTCATTTTCATGAATTTTTCAGGTACAAAATGGAAGACTGGAGAAGTTGAACGTCACAGTGGCGAATTTCACCAATATATACAGCTGTTTCGCAAAAAGCCAGTGTGTCACTCCTGTACGGTTTGAATTTTTTCTTTGATAGTCTTGTAGGTGCTTCATTACGCTAAAAGCTCTCTGCTGCTCTGAATGTGCACCTCAACGTGAATGTCCAAAACACACTGAGGCCACGTATCGTTATCACTATCTCGTTAAAGACTAATATGATTCTAGTATCAGACGATACTCAAATGTGTAGCGCCTTTTCAAAGACACACGCAACGGTCTTTGGACGTGTTTCCTGTTGGCATAGTGAAAATGACCGCTACGGTAGATGCGGCTGTATGTACCCGTACATCCAAGCAGTAGTGCAGCTGCTTCATGTTGTGCTTCGCTAGAGAAGCGATACGAGCATCAGCACCGGTCGGACATTTGTGGACAGGCAGGCACGGTGGACGTCCGTTTCGGTATGCTACAGCTCGATAGGGTGCTATAAGGGTATCTCCCTTGGGAAGGGCGCCACGCAGCGCCAGTTCAGGGGAGCCAAATTCTGTCCTCTTAGGCGTATTATTCCCACATGTCTTGGGGATTTATCAAGCCACTTCCTTCAACAGATATAAAACCAGAAATGCAATTCTTTCGAGTCAAACATTTGTATTAACTAAAGGAAATTCTGTGCATGTGCTGCTGTGCTACATCTGTGTCCTGAAACTTCTTGGATCTTTTGGCTTGGGGGACATATGTAATCGTGTACTCGCAACCATGCCCTCGTTATCTTTGGGATAAGGGGTACAAGTCAGTGAATGGGTGCCAAAAGTTGTAGAAAAAAGGGGAGCGAGTGAGCGTAAATTGTTGTGAATTATCGTACATGGATGATTTTCAGGTGCCAGTAACAACGACAGCGCCTTCAACAACAACTCCCCGTAAGCTGTTGAGAAAAAATTCAAGAGCATAGAGTTTATGGTGTTTTTTTCAGCGCTCAATCCATGCCCATCAATCAGAGCAGAACCCGTTACGGATGAACACAAAGAATATGATGTCCCTACTTCTTCCGTGAGTTTTCTATTTCTGTGAGAGAAAGAGGTGAGAAAGCGATTGTCCTCTATTATGGCAAAGCCATAATGAAAAAGTTCGCTAACTGCATTTCTTCGAGAAACCTCGCGGTAAAATGTCATCATAGAGGAGGAGCACAGTGATCAGCCTTGAACACTGCTAGAAGTCTCACCTATACTTTCAATTGGGTGTATTCAGGGGTAGGAGTGAGAAAGAGTAAGTGCAGGTTCTAACCCTCACCTAGTCTTCCATCCGAAATAGCTGTTTGAGAGTGAAGCAATTTAAAACCGTTGAACACCCTCGGAGCGCTGCCTAAACTCCTCTCCACTCGTTCGAGGGGAACGATAATGTTTGCCAAAAAACTTCAAACCTTTCTACCGCAGTCCACAGGAAAGGGTGGAGGGATCGAGGCCCACGATAGACACTACTCGCCTTCTACCGCCTCCTCGCAAATCGAGCCACATTCTGATCCAAGGCAGCGTTCATAGTTCGCGACAGCAGCGGCGATCGCCGGCTATCGTCGGTGCATGGTAGCGCGCGCCCCAACGCTATTGTGGATGCTCGCCTGATGAATAAGGGAATTCAACTTATAAGACCTTCTTTACTCTTAATAAGGGCTACTAACAGATAAGCTGCGACTTTCTACACATAAGCAGATCTGGAATATGAGGTAAGAAGGTTTCACTTCCTTTTAGGTCGGGGAAAGACCAACCAATTCCTGGGTGAGCTTCTTTTTATTGTTTTTATTGTTTCAATTTATGCATGCGCCTCAGGAATTCCTATCGTCTAAGCTGTTCCAACTTCCAAAACATTCATAGTTTACAAGTCGAGTTCAAACAAACTAAAAAAAAAAAAAGAAACAGAAAGAAACATTCCTAGAAACCAAAGCACTAATCATTTTACGCGACATTAAGAGGTGAAAACTTCATAAACCTGTACAACCTCGACGAATGAGAAAAGAAGCAATAAAAAGGTACCTCAAGTGAAGCTCTCGCGCTTTTTGCTCATTTCTATTCTAAATAAGAAAGAAAATAGAAAACAAAAGCGATTAAGCTGGGCTCACCTCCCCTTGTGTCAAACCAAGCTTCAGTACCTAAGGAAGTTGCAGTTAAAGAAAAAAAAGCATAAAATTGAGCCGCTTACCCTCAGAAGCCTTCGGAGCGCAAGTAATAGCTTTGGGGCGCGCGCTGCCATCGCGGCGATCGCCGCTGCTGTCGCGAACTATGAACGCTGCCTAGGGTATTGAAGCCTCAACAACGTGATACATCCGTACGGATAGCGCACCGCCTAGTCCCCGTGCCCGTGTGCAGTGTTACTTCCCAATAGCGGAAATTGGAGTGAAGGTGTCTGGGATCACTCAGTTTCGGCTGCTGGCGGTGTCTAGGAAGTGTTGTGCCGCCATTACGTACAGCCCTCTTTACTTCACTTCCACTCTCTCAAAGCCGTCACAGACAGTGTACTAGGAATTTGCACATAGACGACTAGCTGCTGAGTAACTCGATAGCGAAGAAAAAATCAGAAAAAAACATGCCAACTGCCCTAGCTAGAACCTCATTCCAGTACCAACTTGTACGTGCCTAATTACCTCCATCTTCAACAATGATCCTTATCCGCACAGCCGGTTCCACGATAACGACTCTACGACCGTACAAGTGACGATTTTCATGTTTTTCACTGAAAGGAGGCCCTTGAGGGCGGAGTCTGGAGGCGTAGGCGGATCCACTGGAGAAAAGGAGGCGACACTGGAGCTATATTCCGCTATAGCGCCCCTTTACAATTTTTTGTCGCGAAATCGCTACAAGATTGTTCCCCGCGGGCCACACTTCACTCTCGACGCCATATTTTCAACTTTAAAACCTAATCGCGGACCGTACCTTCAACCTGGAGGGAATCACTCTTCCTACCAGGCTCGGGCTTAGCGGAGCGCAGATGATCGTAGTGTCTTCATTCGCGCCAGTGCTCTCACTACCCCACTCCTCAACGCTAAGGCTGAGCCTGGTAGAAAGCCTTAGCGTTGCAGGATGCAGAGTGAATACGTGTGTCTTCGTAATCAGGTTGTTGAATAACCCCTGTATACAAGTTTTCAGCGGGTTTGGTGATCTAAGCCCTTCTAAGCAGCAGCGAAAACTGGCGTCCAAACGGCATCAGTTCAGAACGTGCGACGTAACAGCTGTGACAAGTGGGACGACGTACGTAGTGCTCCCAAGAGAACTTAAAGAGAGCCCTCACGCTCAAGTCTCATGGTCGGCCTTCCTTCTGCAGGTAATTCAGCCCCCAAGCTAGTTACTATCCCACTCTCGCGACTTCACAGTGAGCGAGGAGCGAGCCATAGCCGCTGAAAGTCCTAGTTCTAACGCAGTCCCAGTCGGAGCGCCCACTTGCTAGATGTCCTCTGACGGAGAGCAGCTCAGTTGTTCTTTGTTGGGGCGGCGCGCATTAACCGGAATTGCATGTCATTCCAGCTGGCCACCAAAAATCACGAGCTACTCCATTTTCGTGGTGCAAAATCTCGACGCACTACACTACACTAACCATAAGAGATGCACGCTACCGTAACCCTAAATCCGGAGCCGAGTTTTCGAAAGTTTCTTTTGCTTTTCAGGAATTTTCGTCCGTGTTTTTGTTGTTTTTTGTATTCTTTTCTTTGCATTGGATAATATCCAATATTGGGAGATGTGGTAAAGGGATTTGTGAGTCAGGGGTTGCACAGAGACCGCAGGGAGGTGTGACTGTCATGGAGCGATTTTGTTTGTACTGTTCTTGAGGACCTTCTTGTTTTTTTTTTCTTTTTTGGGGAATTGTTTCATAATTGAAAAGCAATTATCCATGACACTTACCGCAGGAGCTTTCTTTAATCCACCCAACGTAGCAGTGCTCCAAGTTGACTTTCTTGAATCTTTCTGTGTCTACGTCTCTCAAGTCGACAAGCTTTCTCTGTGCTTGTGTCTGTCTGGTCAGTTAGCTAGGAAATACTCTGTTAGCGATGCCATTACTAGAAAGTAACGCTCCACACTTGCAATGTGCGCCAGCGCTGAGAGCAATCTTGATCCAGCACCCATAAAACTCGTTTTAGGGTTCTTCGCGCCAAGCGAATGTGATATCCGTGGTCTTGGGGTAAAACCAGTCCCCTGGCACAATTTTCCAGCACATCTGCTGTTCTCTGAGGTGTTTTGGCAGGTGGCGGATACAACATACGTGTTCGTGAGGACACTACCAATTGGGGAAATTTTTAGCGCTTTTGGTGTCACTGGGAACTTTGGTGCAAGCGCCAGATGGCTCCCAGTCACGTTCATGTGACAGTCGTGTTGAGCGGGTCAAATCAATCCTCTGGTTCAAAACTCTTGCAGCAGTTATCTGGAATTTTTCGATCTAAACGTGGCTTGAATTCCGAAGTGTACAGTAGCGAAGGGTGAAAAGTGCCGAATATTCTTACCATCTTCTGGATACCCAGATACGGTATATTTTTCTGCTTATTGCAGAACGTTCGATGCTCGGATGTGTTCAATGCCGATGATGGCTTCAACGTTGTACTTGAAGGGAATGTCACTATCAATAATACTGCTGCACTCATAATCTACAATGCCGTTGGGTCAACCATCTCAAGGTTGTTACGCTTCAGAAATATTATCCCTCACGCAGTTAGAAACAAACCAGGTAAAGGAGAGGAGACAAACCTCCAATGAACTTCTGGAAATCGGACGCAACTCTATTATATCGACTACCTTTATATATTTCTGGCCCGCAGTTCTGCTTACGTTTATTTACACGTATTCTTCAGACTGGGAAATAAGTACCAGTTTGTGAAGGTTCTAGCGAGTTTCTTCTCTACGCATGCAAGTACGATAAAAACGGAAAAACAAAAAAAAATCGAATGTTTGCACTTTACAACTGTGACCTCAATCAAGTGTCAGTTTTTGATTTTCTTCTCCTCCGCTTCTACTAGATATGAATAGAGCAGAGTTCAAAGACACATGGTACGCTTAAACACATTGAGGATGTATGAGACTATCAACTCCCCAGGGGTGTCGGACTTTCTTAAGAGATCTCACTTCGCACCTATCATGCCTCTCGGGGAGACTCGCCTGCGGTGTTGCCTGACTTAAAGTTCTCATCATTGCGGATCGGTGGCGGCGCGTCAGCCAGAAGGAGTGCGCACACTGTTGAAGCCGTTCTCAGCCTTTTTTGTTGCAGCGCGTATGACTGTCAGAACGTGGTAGAAACGAGTAATACGAAGGAAATAATACAGTAATGCACTTGCCCGCTTCAAAAACTGGTGCAGAACAACTTCGCCAAACCGCACCAAACGCAGCCGCACTGCCACGCCCACCGGTCCGCAATGATGAAGACTGTAATTGCTTTCTCACTAACTCCTAACCTTTCCTCTACTTGACGATTACATCATGATGACTGATTATTTACTGCTGATTATTGAGCAAATCGTGTAGAATTAAGAACTTACAATTGAAAAATTTGAAATCACATGAAACAGTCAAAGATGAAAAGCATCGCGAAAATGAATTAAAGTAAAACAAAAAAATTAAAAAATAAATAAATTCAAATCAATATTGACTTACAAGGGGACCCCAACAGGTCGATCGGGCCATTTGCAGTGAGGTGTATAAATATGGACGCGTCTTGAGCCGCCAAATCCAAATCTGCCCTCCGATTTTGCGGAACGATTCTCCAAAGGGAGTTACGGACCAATTAATCTTAGCTCCGTTTGCTCAAGTTGCGAAGGATAACTACACGCGGCAAGCCGACGGTGGGCTAGTGGATAAGTGCATTGCTTCAGAGACACAAGGTCGAATGTTGGAGTCCTTGGCTATCGAAATCTTTTGCTTTTCATTCAAAACACTTGGTATCGAGATGGAACTACCACGTGGTAAAGAGCACGATGACGCAAAAGGCAAGAATAAGTAAGCCGGGTAATGTCTTTGCGAAAAGGCACATGAAGAGGTATTTCATTTGGAAAACCAGTCATCATCAGTACGGTAGTCGTAGTATCGCTTTGGCTATCAGTTAGCCACAGCTATTCATAACCCATTTTCTCGAAAATGAGTTGGAACCTCGGATTCCACTGAGGTGACGTCTTTAGGGGTTATTTGACCCCCTGAACACGAATATGATACCTGTTTTGAGCGAAGAGCGCTGTGAGTTGCGCTACAGGTGCTAACGCTTTGGCGCTGGCGCGCCCGGAAGAAGAAAAGCAATAAAGAAAAACCTCACAACTATGCTCAGAGAATCGTTCCGCAAATTTTAAAGATAGTCTTGTGTTCATCGTGGCAAGTTGAGTACAATGATGTACATTTCGTTGCAAATGGCCGGGCTGACGCGTTGGCCTTTCCTGTTCAGCTTGTGCAAACACAGCAAAGATTAAATGGTCCGTAACTCCTTTCAGAGAATCGTTCCGCAAAATCGGAGGGCAGATTCGGATTCAGCGGCTCAAGACACGTCCATACGCATACATCTCATTGTAAATGGCCAAATCGACCGATTGGCGTTCCCTTGTTAGATGGTGTTAGTAACAAATCTAGACATTGTTCTACAATATTCTTCCGCTTCGTAAACCTCGTAGTGTTTGGTCCCGAACATGCAATAAAAAGTGAACGAATGACTGGTGCCTACAATCCTGTAAATTATTACATCTCGTCCATGTATTCCCGTGGGTGTGTTTATGCTGTGCTAAAAGGGAATCTGAAGATTGCTGAAAACCTGGAATGGAGGAGTTATGTGCTGATGGTGGATATGGCAATGAAGCGGGCGCGTTAAGAGCAGGAAGCAGAGTTGAAGCGAGGGTCATCCCATCGAGATGTGTGGCATGGAAGTGTGTGCTTCCAATTAAAACATAAAACGAGGGAAACGGTACATGCATAGTAGTATAGTGCTCTCGAAGAACCGATGAGGTTGTGTGCAACCAAGAATCATATGTTGAGTTAGGTGCTTTGTGCGACATCAAATGAAGAAGAAAATGTCTACAAAGAGAAAGGGAGTGATGTACTGCCGGAGACATCACGGAAAATCGGAGAATTGGTGGGAACGGAGGAAAGGGAGTGAATTATCGTTCATGCTCTACTGTGCGTTACACAAACAACAGTGCTAAAGATTTCCACTAATCAGCTCGCTTAGTTACTGATTAGTGACAACCTCTATATCAGGTGTGACGTTGGTAAAAGAGGTGCCTAACAGTTAAAAGTACTGACGGTCATTTTTAACGAATTAATCTCCCTATATAGGGGCATCAGAGTCCAATTACAGCAAGTTCTTGGCGCAGAACACATTCAACTTTCAAATAATTACAGAGCCTAGAAGTTCAAATCTTTTGGATACCCGCCATGATGGAAACAATAGAATTTTTTCAATAGGTCCCTTTTTCCTATTCAAATTGCGGTAATTTCATATTGTGTACGTGTGCATTTCAGTTGCTCTATGTGGTTAAATGTGTTCTTGACATTTTAAATTTATGAAAACCCTACGTTTACTTTTATTTTTTCTTCTACTTTCCATGTTCAGTTTGGCTCAGTCGTGTCTGTAGACGAGAGGCCAGGAGTGAGTGGGAGAGCAATTAAGTCAGGCAACGCCGCAGGCGAGTCTCCCCGAGAGGCATGATAGGTGTGAAATGAGATCTTTTAAGAACATCACACACCCGCTCCCCAGCTGTCGATGTGTCGTGGTCCTTCCGCCCGAACTGCACGGGGTCAGAGTAGCGGGCCGTGGGAAAGTCTATTTTCTTGCCACACCGCCCAAAATGCAACTTGCGGCGCAAACTTCTTTATGCTAACGGCCGTCCGCGCGCGCGTGTCGCGCGCGGCTCTCTTGGCTTTTTGCCAAGTCCTGTAATTGCGCTCTGGAATACAAGTCAAGACAATTTTCTGATGCGGATTCATTTGTGGTGTTGCTCATGCTTCAAAGTCCGAATAGAAGGTGATGAAGATGACAAAGGCTAGAAATGAAGAACAACGAATATACTGTCTTCATCATTACGGAGTGTCAGCCAGTAGAAGTGCGCACGCTGTTGAAGCCGTTCTCAGCCTTTTTGTTGAAACGCGTATGAGACAAAAAGTGGTAGAAAACGACTAGTACGAAGGAAATAATACAGTAATGTCACTTGCCCGCTTCAACAACTGGTGCAGAACGACTTCGCTACCGCGTCAAACGCAGCCGCACTGACACAAGATTTTTCTAAGATCCTGCGCGAATTCGGCTCCAAAACCATAGAAATACTTTAAACTAACAAGTGGGACGCTTAGGCCGTTTTTATTGACATGTTCTGTGGGAAAGCGCAGCCTCTGAGGGATAGCAGAAGCAGCACAGTTGACTTGAGCTCTGGCCCTCGTCATTATCTTCGACTCTTATTTTGCAGCACCTAAAATGTTATCCGCATCAGGAAATTGCGCTTTACTTGTATTCCAAAGCCCAATTACAGGAATTGGCAAAAAGGCAAGAGAGCCGCGCGCGACATGCGCCGCGCGGGCGGCTATTAGCGTAAAGGAGTTTACGCCGTTAGTTGCATTTTAGGCGGTGTAGCAAGGAATTAGACTTCCCCACGGCCCTGCTCTAAGCCCGTGCAGTTTCCGGCAGGGAAACCACGTCGCATCGACAGCTGAGGGGGTGATAGTCTCATACACCCCCAGTGTGTTTGAGCGTACCATGTGATGGTCACTTCTAGCGGTCCCACTGTTCTTGAGGCTTTTGACGAGTGCCATGATTGTGGTACACAGTGATCATCATTTTCGTTTCAGGTTTTAGGACCACTTAGTTGCTTGAAAAAGTTCAAGTTTGGATGTTCGGTACAACAGACTCCCCCCCTCAAGACGGTCGGAGATCCGTACGTTTGAAACCCGGAAAGCTGGAGGGTCATTCATCATGTTTGATGAAGTCAGCGAGCTGCTGGGCACATGGTTCCTGGACTATTCGTGAGCTAGAGCAGAACTTTGCTGAAAGTCCGGCGAAGGCCTTTCTCAAATAGGAAATCAATCCATAACATGAGGCTATTTTTTGGTGGATTTTTCTCCTCTCCCTTAATTTTAAGGCCGGCTTGGATAGAAACAGGTAGAGTTTCCCTCATTGAGATCACTCTTAACCCGAATTTAGGATTGCAAGCGTTTTGATCTTTCCTGGAGCCATGCCCTTGCTGGTAGAATCAGCACGATCTTCTTCAAGGATCCCTGAGCTTTGGAAGTTGAAGAGAACACGAATAGAAATCCGTACATAAGTGAAAACGATGATAGCACCGTGAACCGTTGGACCGATTTCCCGCATCTTTCTAGCTCCTCTTCTTCATAAAGTCCATCAGAAGTCAGATTCCTAACGTAAACTTTCCGCAGGGGTGGAGATGCTGCCTAAGTTTCCCCTGGCGGTACTCTTAATCGATCTCCAACTCCCCTTGAAATCCGCCCCATCTGATGTACTCTTTTGCAAATCCTCCAAATTGTTTCTTTCACATTCCTCATTTTTCTGACTAATGGCTGTTCTTAGACACCCAGGGTTAGTTACTGTAGTACGTTCGAGCTAGACATTCCGATCCTTTGAATTGAGAAACGAATAAGACACAAAACATCTAGGGTATCAGTAAGTTGGCCCTCCCCCTCTGCACTGTGTCGAGCCTAATCTGTGACTGATATATAATTTGAAGCGTTCAGCATTAATGCAACGGGCAATGTAACGCTTGACACGAAGGAGTTGTCGTCTATCGAATTCCAGTTGATCTACTAGCGGCTGTCCAACCAAAAGTACTTTTTTCTATTCACTTCATACAATGTTGTATTCGTTATCAGTGAGTTAATGCGGTGGGATGTTGGCCGAGCGTTGGGCTTGGCGCTGTGCTTTTTTTCCATGCCTTTCCTCAGCGCTCATAGACTGCCGCACCGCCGCATGATCCAATGGGAAACGGGCCACCGCCCGCCAAAGGCGCCACGCTACTCTGACATGACAGGACTGACTACAGTGATAAAAATGTCCACTGAGTATGTCGATGATTGCCTATTGTATCTGTGTTCTAGACGACCCCTTGCGCAGTCCTAATCTCTGTAAGCGGAGGTAAGCGTGTGCTGTGGATCCGAATACTGGTGGATCGCTGTGCATCTTGGTGGTCAGCATGTAAGACAGGGAGATACGTGCGAGTTTAGGTACGTCTTTCGAGTACTGAAGAAACCAGTGCGTACAATTTTCAAGAAGGGCTTGCTTTTTCAATCAGCGCACGAAGATCGGTCTTAAAACCCGAGCACGCTTCCCCCTCCGTCCTCCACTACCTGACATGTTCGACCCACGTTCCAGCGCCTTGAGTTTGACCGCTACCCACATTTACGCCTATCCGTTCACCCAATATTTATACTATTCATAAATCGATGGTTCGCTGAGCATTCCATGTGTTCAATCTTGATGTAATGAGTAGAATAAACGAAGCTCTTCTCTCATGGAATCTTTAATTATATGACGACGGTTTCGGGGCATAAGCCTTCTTCAGCGTCACTCGGTCTAAATCAAGACAGCATATACCTTAGCAAACGATACAGCTCAATAAGTAAACTTAGGCATAACCGCAACTATGTAGAATGGGGAGAAGAGTTATAAAACTGTCCGCTAGCCTCACTACGTAGCCAGTACTGGCAGAAATGAAAGTGGAAGAATTGGGGTCTTTATAAAGTGGCGAGACAATGGTATCTTGAATAAGTCACGTATGTGCTCATTGCTGCACGTCCTTATATTGATCATCAATCTGCCACTTCTCATTCTTCTTTATTGTTGATTCGCTGGTGCGTTGCTGCTTTATTTCCAAAGGGCCTCCTTGATCTTTCTTTCAACTGGGCTCCAACACATTTCTGGATATGGAATTGGAGATGCAGAGTTCGGCGGTCTTTCTGAGCGTGGCCTTTATGGGTGCGATGCCTCGAGAATGGGTTGGTCCGGTAGCTCTGTGGGTTCCGCAAGCCTCTTAGGTGTTCCTCCATTCTTTTTCGTGAATGTGGCTCGATGGTTTCGCGCAATGTAAAACTCTTGACATGAGAGGCACACTATTTTGTACAGCTGGCACACCATTTCAATGACACAACCTTATGTTCTGCCACAATCACACAGTTCTCCTTTTACCTGCGACTGCTCATGATGAGACGTTGATGAATGTAAAGTCGTCGTAAAGTTTAGGAGGTGGTCGACAATGGCCAGGCTTATGGGGGCCTTGACCGTTTTAGGCGACGCGATTAACATCAAAGCGACTGAAGTCCACTGATGAAAGGTAACACGAGTGGAGTGCCATAAAGGTGATCGTAAGGCTCGCAGCATCGCAGCTGGCTGAATTCTATATCCGTTTTCCAGCGAAGATCTTATTCACTTACTGTCTCCTCTGTTGAGGTGATTCGTGAGGGTCAGCTCATGTGATGTTGTGACTCATGTGGCGGACAGTTCACTTTCATATAAAGAGGATGGGAGCTTCTCGCGTTGAATGGAGAATGTTCTTAGATGCCAGCTTCTTAAACCACATGGTGCTGGATCTAATTAATCTGATTCTCTCATGTCAAAGAGTTTTACATTGTGCGAAGCATCGAGGCACTTCACAAAAGAATGGAGGAACACCTAAGAGCTTTGGGCGCACCCAATCCAGAGCTACCCGGTACAAACCATTCTCGAGGCATGCGCACCTAAAGGCAGCTCGAAAAAGCGCCGGAACTCTGCATCTCCATCCTACAACAGAAATGTGTTGACCGCCAGTTGAACAGAAAGATCAAGGAGGCTTTGAAATAAAGCAAGCAACGACCACAATCAACAATAAAGAAGAGAGCGAGAATCGCAGAATTTGGATTCAATGTAAGAGTGTCAGAATGAGAGCGTATACGTGACTTATTGCAAGATCACCATTGTCTCGCACTCTTATAAAGACCCCAATTCTTCCACTTTCATTTCTGCCATTAAGTACTGCTACGTAGTGAGGGCTATCGGAGTTTTTATACTTCTTCCCATTTACATAGTGTGTGGTATTGGCTAAGTTTTACTTTATTGATGGCTGTTATCGTTGTAAGGGTATATGCTTGTTTGATTTAAGACCGAGTGACCTGAAGAAGGGCTTATGCCCGAAACGTGGTCATATTAATAAAGATTTCAATGAAGAGAAGAGCTTCGGCTATTTCTAGCTCATTAGCATCACCATATTAACTAGTGAACCGATGCTTTCCTAGAAAACCTTCGAATAGGGGGGAGGGACAAAGGGCAAGGTTGGAGGAGTTCACGGCTCTGTTGTACCGAAGAAACTCTCATCACGTCCTTAAGAGGCCTTATCTCTCATTTCATGAGGCTGACGCCTCTCAATTTTCGCTGTCGTTGAGGAGGCGTCCGCGCTCATGATTCCCTATTGGAAACTGATTCTGGGAATCTGGGTGAGCACCTTTACTTGAGTAGATACGGGTAAGATACTGTAGATACTGTATGGCTATTACCGCCGACGCCAGCGCATATCGCCGAGGCCCGCCTGCGGCATGACGCGCGCTAATAATAGGTGGGACTTCGACTGCTTTGACGCTCTCCCTGGCTACTCAATGCACAAGATGAATGCCATTGAATAGCGTATAATAATCGGATTTATAAAGTTAAAATCTTTCTTGAATTGCTATGAATACTGGTTGAGGATACATGCTTGTATGGAAGAGAAGCGTTGTTGAAGTTTTTAAACATGTTCTGTTTTCTGAAGTTTCTGAGGGCTGTCCAACGAAACGCAGAAGTATCGAAATCATCCAGTAGTAGGATTTTGATATGTGACCGAACCGTTTACTTTCGCAATATCGATGACGAATAAATGTTCGGAGCGAAAAACCTTTGAAATTTTCAGACTTTCTGTTAAATTCAATTTCTATCGACATCGCTACTGCTGGGTGGCGCTATAGTTATGGCGTTCTTTTCATGAAGTTTTGCTCCAGAATAAAAAATTTTGTCCTTCAGTTTTGTACTGTATTGGGCTAGAGAATTGCCCTCGCGTCTTACGAAGTTTTTCGCTTGTTTTTTTTTTTTTTTGAAGCATTGGCTCTTTTCGCTAATCTTTACTGGAGTGTGCAGGTCAACGAAACTGAGGCATTTTCTGAAAGCGCTCCATATTTCAACTTTAATTGAAGTCCTTAGGGCAATATCAAGCATCAGCCGCTGGTTGATGTTTGACGTTCAAAAGTTAGGCGATAGCTCCTCGTAGGCAGGTCGCTCTTCAGAGGGTCCCCATGCAGTAATTGAACTTAAAGTGAACAATAGAAAGGAAGGATTGACATATCAAGTATGTAAAAGAAGTGATTCATTTGGCACGCCTGCTGAAATTCGCCACCTCTTGATGGGCTTATACCGCAACCTTCAAGCGGTCATACGAAGTACTTTTTTAGGTCATAGATTCACACATTTTCGTTCATTCTGTAATTGTGGGAGGCTGAAATAAAGTGCGAAAAGTTGTTGTCAAAACTCTTTTTTTTATGCCGACTAACACTCGTAAGCCATCCAAATGAAAGATAAGTCGACGGAAATCAAGGAAATGATAAAAGCGTTAGCCACTACTCTGGAGCGATATCACCTGTCAATTAGCTGTAGTAGATATTGACGAAGCAAGTGTCATTATCGGCATATAAAATTTGTGCGAGATAAAAACGTCATTTACTTGTAGGCTAACCTATATTACGGATGCAATTCGATTCGATTCATCTGCGTTACGGTGAGTAGCCAGTGGAGGTCCAGGCAGTCAGAGCAGAATTGAAGGCCAGGTCAATGCCGCAGGCGGCCTGCGGATATGCGCAGGGTGGTGGCATCCAGTATCCTACAGTATTTACCGTATGCTACTCCAGCTAAAGTCCGCCAGCCCGGGAATCCGTAGGTCGGTCAACCCTCGCTGATTCTAACCATGGTTCTGAACTGGGTACGTTTCTTTGGTGATGGATGAATTCATCGGGAAGTCCATTTCGCATTGGATTCATTAGAAAATCGCTTATCCGAAGGAGTATTCATTTGAATGACGTCTAAGTCACAGTCCTCTGCGAGCAGACTGCGATTTACGGCAGCTGATTCACAAGGGTATTCACATTTATCTTCAGTGCAGCGGAATCTTGGACTAGGGTGCAGAAGTCGACGTCTGGCCGTGCACGTGTCAGTGCAGCACGTTGTCAGCTTGCTTACGCTTCCCCTGACGCGATCTGCCTTCTTACAGAGCAGCAGATTGCGCTTGCGAAACGGCTACAGCGAAGAGGAAATGTTCGGGTTTGAATGTGGCACGCGCGGTGATGTAAGGAACCTGCATTGTGGATCACAGCATAACGACTTATGTGCCTACAAATGCGACTGTACATCTCGCCGGGAAGCGTGCAAACCAACTTGTGGATGCATGTAGGGATGTTATAATTTCTTATTTTAATTCAGTTTGATAGCTCTGAAAGATCTCCGATTTTTCATTTGAGAAGCCTAGTTGGTGCAGTTTCAGTCATTTCGTATACTTTCTTTTCTTTTTTAGGTGCTGGGCACAGCACAAGTTTTGGATCGTTTTTTATTGATTGTCAGTTATTCTTTGAGATTTTTTGAGTGTTTCATGTGTTCCAGCTCCTTCACAACTTCAATACGCCACATGGTGGGAAACCGTTCCGCAGACTATGTCATCGTGCACGCTTACAAAGAATATGGAAGAACTTTGTGTAGATTAGCTTAGCAATACTGCGTGAATATATAATTTCAGATGATAATATGACTTTCTTGTTTTCACATTT